AAATGTTACATCTTTACTTGGGGGGGGGGATGTTATTCTAGGAATTGTGACCAAAGCAAATTGGTTTGTGGTATGTGTGTGCATGTGTATACTGTGTGCATGTGTGTGTGCATGTGTATACTGTGTGCATGTGTGTGTGCATGTGTGTGTGTGCGTGTGTGTGTGTGCGTGTGTGTTTACCTGATGTGTCTATCTCCTAGGGAACATCTTCTGAAACTTGACATTGTGACTCATCCTGAGTTCTAGTGTAGTTAGTTTCCATCAAATGACACCTCTTCTTCAATCATTATGCCTGTGTCAATCTGGAAAGATGCTCACAGACGATTCTGGGAGCTCCTTTTGGCCAGTCATTTCTTTTCTCCCAGGAACCTCAGATCAACTTGGGTTACCCTTGGCTTTCGCTTTAGATTGCAGGCCAAAGGAAGTGGACACCGAATACAATCACTGGGTTTATGACTATGGATCAAGGAAATGGACAGTTTACAGATTTCCATTTGGATATTAAGCTGTGTGGTGGTAGACAGATGATGTGGCCAGGTAAATGGATTCCAAACAGCTGAAGTGATAGGGAAAGTATGTTATTTTGTAAAGTGTTTATTTGTTTTCTTTGACAAGACTGGGGTTTAAACTCAGGACCTCATTCTTGCTACATAGTTGTTCTATCACCTGAGCCATGTATCCAGCTTTAAAGTTTATTTTCAATGCAGTTCATTAGAACATAGACCATCTCTTACCCTAGAAATGGTAATAGATGTGGTAGAGAGAAGCAGAGAAAAGATACTTTCTTGATCGTCACTGTGTTTTGCACAATATGTACGTGCCACACACTTTCTACCTTATTCCTCACAACCACCCTGCCAAGTGGTTGCTTACGGTTTATGATTGTTATCTTAACTGCCAAGAAATGGGTTTAGGAAGTAAAATAAATCACTCAAGTTCTCATGGATGGATGAGTAGAGAGCCTTGTTCATGAGACTAACAGAGTCCCAGGTGTCTCTTGGAGTGGAGGTCTGGTGACATATCTGTCCAGCAAGCAGGGAGTGTGAGGACAAAAACAACTTGAGGAAAACATTTGGCTCTTCTTCCAACTCTGTGGACTTCTGCCTTGCCCTCCTGGTGACTATATAGGAAGATAGCAATAGGTTGTTGCACAAAGCGGAGGGAAGGATAGGTCTAGAATGTCCTACAGTCTGAGTCTTAAGTCCCATTGTCCTCATTTGTTGGTTCAGTGTGTCTGGCTAAGTTATATTTAGCATGCAAGTTTTGGTAGGGATAATTTGATGAGCAGCTTCATGCATTTCCTGTATTATTTTATTGAGTAAATCTATAGTTGAGATGCTTATTTGAGAGCTGAGAGATGAAACGGGGAACTGCCTAAGAAACCTGCTCACAGGGTATAAAATTAACCCTCAAAAATCAGTGGCTTTTATGGATGCCAACAATGAGAAGAACACGGCTGAAATCAGGAAAGCAGCTCCTTTTGTAATAGTCCCACAAAAAATAAAATACCTAGGAGTTAACTAAAGAGGTGAAGGACCTCAATGATAAAAACTTGAAAAAGGAAATTAAAGCAAAACTAAGGAAGTGGAAAACCTCCCATGCTCCTGGATTGGGAGGGTTAGCATCGTGAAAATGGCAATTCTGCTAAAGGCTATCTACAAATTCAGTGCAATACCTATCAATATCTCAACCTCATTCTTCAAGGAAATAGAAGAGGCAATCCAAAAATTCATATGGAACAATAAAAGACCCCAAATAGGAAAAACAATTCTTAGCAGAAAGAACAGTACTGGATTATCAATACCAAATTTCCAAACTCTACTACAAAGCCATAGTAATCAAAACAGCTTGGTACTGGCACAAGAACAGACCTGAGGACCAATGGAGTAGAACTGAAGACCCAGAAATGAACCCACAGACCTATAGCTATCTAATCTTCAATAAGGGAGCTAAAAAAAATAGAATGGAAGACAGACAGCCTCTTCAGTAAATGGTGCTGGCAAAATTGATTAAACACCTGTAGAAAACTAAAGCTAGATCCTTAACTATCACCCTGTACCAGAATCTACTCCAAATGGATCAGAGACCTCGGAGTCAAAGCAGACACTCTGAAAACATTACAGTAAGGAATTGGAGAAATTCTAGGGCTCCTTGGCACATGCTGAAATGTTCTTAATCGAAACCCAGAAGTACAAAATAATTCAAAGAAAGGTTGGACAAATGGGATTGCATGAAGCTGCAGAGCTTCTCCTTGGCAAAGTACATAGCTAGCAAGATCAATAGAAAGCCCACAGATTGGGAGATCTTCACTAGCCATACAATGGACAAGGGTCTCATATCTAAAATATACCTGGAACTCAAAACATTAAATCCCCCAACAACAAATCCTCAAAGACTTGCCCAATAAATAAGTGGGCTAAAGACCTAAAGAGAAACTTCTCTGAAGAGGAAATAAGAATGGCCAATAGACACATGAAGAAATGCTCAACTTCTCCAGCCATAAAAGAAATGCAAATCAAAACAACATTGAGATTCCACCTCACCCAAGTTAGAATGGCTATAATCAAGAACTCTAATAACAACAGATGCTGGAGGGGATGTGGCCAAAAGGGAACCCTAATGCATTGTTGGTGGGAATGTAACCTTGTTCAACTACTTTGGAAAGCAGTATGGAAGTTCCTCAAAAGACTCCACATAGAGCTCCCCTATGACCCAGCAATCCCACTTTTTGGGCATTTACCCAAATGATCACAAATAAGACTACACTAAAGGTACCAGCATGACTATGTTTATTGCAGCATTATTTACCATAGCTAAGGTATGGAACCAACCCAGATGCCCCTCAGTAGATGAATGGATCAAGAAAATATGGTATATATACACAATGGAATTCTATGCCTCCATAAAAAATAATGACATTGCCCCATTTGTTAGGAAATGGAAAGACTTGGAAAAAATTATATTAAGTGAAAGAAGCCAGGCCCAAAGAAATATAGGTCCCATGGTTTCCCTTATCTGCAACAACTAGAATATATCTAGGACAAGCAGAAAAGGTTAAAAGCTATGTACATATAACATGATGCTAAGCGAAATGAACACCAAGATAGGGACACAAGAGGTGTTATCTTTGTTGCGTTGTTTTTAGTGTATTTATCATATACTATGTGATTTTTTTGTTTCTTTTGTATGTTCTTCCCCCATGGTTTAACCCCTGTTTTCACTGTATTTGATGTTGATGCCCTGCATCTTGTGTATACATTTTTCTAATTTGGGAGGGGAAGGGAAATAACCAAATGCTGAAATAAGGATACAGGTTGACCCACTGTAACAACGAGATGTACAAGACACTATGTTGAAAACAAACTTTACAACTTTGAATGGGGAGGGAGTATTTGGGGAGATGGGAAAGGAAGCGAGGGTAGAGGAAGAGCAAAGAAGGAGGGGGTAACAATGCTTGAAAAGAAATGACTCATGACCTTGCTCATGTAACTGCAAGCCCGCTACAATAAAAAAGAAAAATGAAACCTGCTCACAAAAAACTTCTATTTGTACTAGAAAAAAAAGGGTAGGGGCGCATCTGTCCTTCAGCTGTACATGTTGAGCCCCTGCACAGAGTAAGTGCTCAGTAAAATCTTGGTTTTGAAAGATAAGCCCAGAGAGAGTTTGCATGTGAATCCAAGTGTTGCCCTTGGATGATCTTTTTTTTTTTTAAATTTGTCCTCTTTCACTAAGGAAATCATTTGTCTTTGACGTTAGCTATTGGAAAGACGCCAGTAAAACAGAGACACCAAAAAATTCATTTGTCTAAGTCTCTTTCTTTCTGTAGGACAGGGCGGCATCCATCTTCCCAGGTTGTTTAATTGCTCTTCGAAATGGAAAGCTCATTCCTGAGAGCTGTCAGTGACAACAACTTAGTGCTGTCACGAGCAGGACAGCTGATGGGGCCGCGGGGAGGGCAGCATGTCTTGTGTGGGCCCACTGTGGGGACTGGAAGCGTGTGCATGGACACTCCTTATCTCTGGAGCTTGAGAATGGGAAGCTAAAGGGTGCCCCACACAGAGGAACAGGCTGGGACCTATCTCTGCATTGAAGTAGTCACCGCCCAGCCCTGCTGCCGGAGGCCCCTTCAGTCTTGGGGAACAGCAGGGATCCTAACTGCCTGAAGCTGGAACTTTCCCAGATGTTTTCTGGATGAGCAAGAGAACCACTTGATCCAAGGCAAACAAACAGTTTATGCGGGTGGCCTGCGTTCTGCCCAACTTTTCTATTTTTAATAATTGCTCTAATAATTAGCATGTGGCTGCCTCTCCTGTTCAAACAGTGTTCAAGGACAATCAACATGGGCAGTTGTCTGTCCAGGAGCGTGTATATACATAAGTATGTATACACACATGCATGTATAGGCATGTGCACGTAAATATGCGTTATGTACATGTATCTGTATGCATATGTGAAAAAAGAGAGAGAGGGAAAAGATACCAATCAGATAATTCCATAAAGACATGGCTAGTTTTTTGATAGAAATAGTTTCACAGAGTCGAGCTACAATTGTCCATCTTTGATTAAATTACTTTAAAAAATTACTGCTGCTAACCTGGTTGTAAAATTCTATTTTCTGTTTGAAAACAAAAATGGACCCTCAAGAGAGCAGAGAGCAGAAGGAAAAGAAAAACTTGAATGTGTTTTACATTAAGTGCAAATCCTTTGGTTAAAAAAAAATCACACTGCATTTCCTAGTACATTGATTAAACCTCCCTAAATACAACCTCAGGAATTAATTTTCACCGGGTTGGTGTTAGCTGGCTTATTGAATTGGACCTGGGTCCCCATTTGAGGCAGTTGGGTTGAAGAGTGTCCACATAGCCAGGCCCCCTTCTCCGAGGGCACCCACACCCATATGCCAGGGAACCCAGAAGCCAGTGGGTTCTGCTCCTTTCCCTTTCCCTTGTTCTCTTTGAGAGATTTCTTGCCTGTGAAACAAATGCTCTGTCTCCTTGCAGGACAGTGACAATCTCTGGTGGGATGCCTTTGCCACTGAATTTTTCGAAGATGACGCCACATTAACCCTTTCCTTTTGTTTGGAAGATGGACCAAAGCGATACAGTAAGCAAGACGTTTATTTGTCTAATATTTTCTCATTTTAATGCCACTGAGAAAACCACAGGAGTCTTGCGAGAATCGCCTGGCTTCTGACAGGCTGACAGTAATACCTCCACTCCTGACAGTGCTCTTGCTTCCTATCAAGTCATTGTCACCTGGCGGCAGCCCAGTCAGCGCTGTGAGATTTCCTCTGAGGCTCCGAGGATCTGGGCACTGGCTTGTTTCGAGAGTTGAGGACAGAGGAATGAAGTCGCTCAATAATAAGCAGGAGTAGAATGATGGAAAGTCTCCAGGCTTCTTTGCTGCAAGTTCCTCTTTATCCTCAATGGTTCACACTTGACACCCAATATTGTGTGTGTAAAAAAAAAAATATCCTCACCTCAGCCACATTCTTCTAATTCCTTCTTATCAATTATCTCAGGTATTTGTGTGACAAGTGCTATAGTTTTCTCAAGGATGGAGGAGGAGGAGGAAGACATAACTGCTTTGAACATTCAGTTGGGGATTAGGGCTGACAGAATTATAGTTCCTACTCTGTAAAGATTCTCACATTACTGCCAGTGGCTCGTTGGGTCACAGCTGATCTGTCCTGATTAGGTTCAGCCAACTTGTCAGAAATCAGATTTGCTGGTTGTACTTTCAAACTAAGAGGCAGAGATACATCCGCACAAAAGCAATTAGTGTCCACGTAGATCAGAGAAAGATGAGCTTTCCAAAATCACTCTCGCAAATAAGAAAGGACTTGTCAAAGGGGAGGGGAAAAAAGCCACTCCCAGTGTCACAAACACTGAGGAGATAAATGGAACGTATTCCAGTAGAGTGAGTCAATTCATAATGTTTGGCAATTGATAGGTAATGGAGCTCTTGATAGACACAAGTCAAAATTCAAAAAGCTACTAAATCTATAGTGGGGTCACCAGGGAATTTATTTTTAATTAGAAGGGATTTTAGCCAACTTAGTAGTATCTGGATCTATTGTATGATTACTTGATTAATTATGTTAATACATGCATGTGGTGACTTTTTTTAGCAGTGGCAAGCACAGGAACTTTGCATCCTGTTGAAACTTGTTGCTAGGGTGGACATTTAATGAGTCCTTTGGATGAGAGAGAGGCAGGTGGGAAGTAGATGTCAGACAATGGGCTGGTAGTATATCTTTATGCTTATTGAAATGCATTCTGTCACCAGTACTGGTGCCCCTGCTTTTGAATCTTTTCTTTATCAAATAGCTGGCCCTATGATGGTGTTTTAGAAGTCTTAGGGAGATAAAATCAACTGAGTAGAACAGCAATAGCCCTCCTTCCCTAACAAACAAAAAACAAAACAAACAAAACAACACCCTGCCTGATTAATGATGAGTAATTCTACCCAAGCAATCATTCAGTCTGTGCCTACATGTTTGTTGGTTTTGTCAATCTTAGGTCTTCAATTCCGTGCCTGGGTACTGTCCCTGAGGTTTTTGTTTTTGTTTTTTTGTTTTGTTTATTTTTGCTCATAGCCGGCACTCTACTACTTGAGCCACAGCTCTACTTTTGATTTTTTGGTGATTAGGGGGAGAGAAGAGTTTTACAGGCTTTCCTGCCTAAGCTGGCTTAGATCTGTGGCACGCAGATCTCAGCTTCCAGTGTAGCTAGGCTTGCCGGCATGAGCCACCAGCACCTGGCTTGTACTTCCTTGTTTATTCACCCACTCAGTTACTGTGCAAGTTATCATTGTTGTGTGTCCTTGAGCTTTGTCAATTTGGAAATCCATGTGCATTTGCACAGAGAACAAGAATTATGCTTTTAATGCCTGTGCTAATAAAACAGTCTCATTTGTTTTGTTTTTCTCCTCCTCAGTCCACTCTCCACCCCCACATCATTTGGGGTGAGGCACGAAGGGTGCCCTGTGAGATCTTATTTCCATGCACAGGGGTAAATGCCTGAGCATAAGCCATTGTTGCCCAGGTTTCTTTGTTTCTCTGAGCCAAAATATTTCCCGAGTAGGGAAGAGAAACAAAGATGATTGACAGGCTTGAGCCCCGTCTCATCAGCTGCCTCGCTGACAGCCTGGTGGTGTGCACGCACACAGGACTGATGTGCAAAGCAAGTGACAGCTGATTGACAGCTCAGGACTGGGAGATGGGGCCGAGGAAGCTTGCTTAGAATGCCTGACGTGCACTGTTTATGCATTGCTCCAAGCACAGGCGCTCCCGTCTTAACCCGTTCAAGGGCTAGATGCTTGGCAGCCCCCAAGCTAGAAGCTGAGGCTCTTTCTCGATCCTCGTAGGGAGCAAAAGCCTTTGAATTTCTGTGGAACAAAAATAAGACTTGCCTGCCAGAGTTCCCCAAATTATAAATGCTGAAGTAATAGCATTCTAAATGAGATTTTTGTTCAACACTTCCTTACAAAAATTATATTCTCTCTGCTCTTGTCTACATCTTCTGGCATCCTTTTCAGTTCCAAGTTATCCTGTCTTTAAGCTACTATAAATCCTGTAAAAGATGCTTATTTATTTTTTTGTCTGTCACCCCTTTATTAGTACACTAGCTCCATGTGGATGGGGGCTTTGTTAATTACTTAATTCTCAGGTAAATACAAGAACGTACACAGGACAAGGGTTGAATAAATGTCAAGTGAGCAAATGAATGAATGAACAAATGACTATGTGACTACATGAATGAGCACTTGGAGAAGAGCTTCTTTTTTAAGTGGAGTGATGGCAAAAACAATCCTTTTCCACAATCTTGGGACTTTTTTAATACTGGAAGAACTTGAGCCATTCAACAATTAACTCTAGGATATGTTTCCAATCTAATAGGGAAGAAAAGGCCTAGCAGCATAATAATCCAGGAAATAATGATGCTTTGGACCTCCTTTCAGAAAGCTCTTCTTCCTGATCCTGTTATGCCTACCTCAGGCCCCAAGCCCTTTGCTCTCCTGCTGGGAGCCTCGGTGGGTCACACCTGAGGACCTGTTGGTTCAGATGGAGACCACCGGCACCTCTCTAGGAGATGGTTTGCTGATAATTGGTGTGGACAGAATGGACAAGGTGATTAAGATGTGTTAGGGCTAGGTGTCCCTGAGGCCATTTTCCCATGCCTCTGATTTCTTTAGTGTCTGGAAAAGTTGGCAGTTCCATGGAGGTAAAAGGAGTCAGATAAAATTTTTATTACTCTTTTAACTATTGTTTGTGATTTGGGACTCGGATTTCTAGTCATTCTCTATCATATACAAGTTATTTCATCTTAACTTCCATGTTTTGTCTGAAATAAGGATTTGCTGTGGAACCACACATGTTTGTGGTCACATTAGCCACAAAATATTTTGTGACTGTTGTGGGGATATTTTACTTTCAAAGAAAAAGGGACAGACAGGGAAAGACAGAGAGAGGAGGAAAGAGGAGGGGGAGAGAACAGAAAAAAGGAAGGA